ACACCACGGTGGATTCAGTCACTCTGGTTATCCTTTACCTATTGGTTTTTGGGGTTTTTGGGGGGTTCTTTTTTGTTTGTTAGCGTTTGTTTTGTTTGTGTTTTGACCAGTTCTTGCTCTCCTGTAAATCCCCCCGTGGTGCTGATCCCTCCGCGCTCATTTCAAACCGGAACGCGACGCCCGGTTTTGCCGCGGTTGGCGCGAGTGACGCGGTTCTTTCTCTTTCCAGATTCTTCCTCAAATTTTTCCTCAAGTGCAATCAGAATTGCTTGAAAACAGCAGGAAACCCCAGAGATATGAGGCGGTTCCAGGTAAGTCTCACAAGGCTCAGCATTAACTTTTTTCTGCTTTTTTTTCCTGCTCTCCTTTCCCTTTCCCCTCTCCTCTCTCCCCTATAATCCACGATCAGCYGTATCACACAGCGTTAAAGTTTCCCTCCATTTGTTGTGTTTAAACCCTTTTTTKCCCATTTTTTCCCATTTTTCCCCCTCTGAGTCCCCGGGGGAAGCGCTGCACTGCACCAACCAGYGGTGGATATTTGATTTGACACCCTCGGGCAAAGCGCTGGCGCATCCAGCTGCCCACAGCAGGGATCGTGCTTGTGATATTTCGATGCCTCAGAATGTTTTCAAAGTCACTCTGTACGTGCTACACGAGCAACCTCCTCCTTTCCTACCTCTTCCCCTGTTTTTTTTTTATTTTCTTTTTTTTTTGGCTTTTTAACACCCCAGCACCTTCCCTTCAGCTTCTTTAAAAAAAAAAAAAAAAAAAAAACCAAAAACAAAGGGGAAAAAAACCAAAATAGCGATGGTCACTTTAAGATCTCGCAGCAAAAGCAAGAAGCCCCGTGGGAGCCTGACCCAGCTGCTCTGCAGTGAAATCTGCCACTGGTTCCATCAGTGATGGCTGATGGATGGTGAATTCCAGCTCGGGGGACACGGGGGAGGCGCGGTGGGGACGTGGGGACACGAGAGGAGGTGCGGCTCTGATGCTTCACCTTTCAGGCAGCTCTGGTGGAGAAATAAATGGGTTTTATCTGCAGTTCAGCCCTTGGTGGAGGGGCAAGGGGATGGTTTGGTTTGGTTTGGTTTGGTTTGGTTTGGTTTGGTTTGGTTTGGTTTGGTTTGGTTTGGTTTGGTTTGGTTTGGTTTGGACACCCTGGAGGTGCTGTAGGGGTGAGGAAAGCGGGGCTGGAGATGGCTCTGGGGTGGGGTTGAGCGCCAGGAGTCAATCAGAAATTTGGGCTGGGCCCCACATTTCCTGGGTGACTTTCATGAGCCGTTTCCCCTCTATTTTCATCTCAATTCCAAGCAGAATTGTTCACCCCGGTGAAACTTYGTGGTTTTGATCCAGGATCAAAATCTGATCCTCAATTCCATAGGGCCTTTGCCAGTCAGAGCCTCCAAATTCTGATGGAATCCAGGGCCACCCTTGAAAACGCTGCTGCTGYTGCTGCCTGTTCTCGTTATTGTTGTGCCTTCCCTCTCTCACATATGAGATAAAAATCGGATTTAACTCATAGAGGGATGTGTGGTTTTTCTGTAAAACCCCGATGTGGGAAGGTGCCATCCTTAGTTTTGGCCAKGGATGCTTTATTTGTTTTTCATATTCACCTGCATCGGTTTCCTCATTTATAAATCTTAAAATCTTAAAACTCCACAGTTTATGGAGTTGCTTCTGACTTTCCATCAAAATATGTTCTCASAGAAAAAAAGGATTTTTYTTTTTGTTTTCTTTCTGCTTCTGCTAGCAATGAAAAATTTAATATTTARGGAGAAAAAAAGGGTTCAGCTTTTACGAGAAATCCTGTGCAACAAAAGCTTCTGAAAGCTCAGGGAAAAAAAAAGTTGAAGAAATGCAGGCAAAAAAAGAATAGAAACAGATTTATTAGCTTTTTGTTTGGAGCAGGAAGAAATTGCAAGAAAAATTCCTGACCAACCTAATTTTTTTCACCAGCAGTTTAAAGAGACTACAGTGACTCCTTCACTCTGGGCTTTTTAGAGATGATGAGACACGAGGAAAAAAGAGGTGCTCGTTGTTGGGGAATTTATACTGATTTCTTTTTTTTTTTCGAGTGGCAATTTCCATAAAGAAGAAACAGCAATTAGTTATCAGCTGCCAAGAATGCTAAAAAATCTGGAGAGCAAAGGAAAACTTCTTTTACAGGGTGTAAACAGATCTCGTTGGCTCTTGGAGCCGGTGAGGAGCTGATTGTCAGGAAACATAAATAGTCTCCGTTTTTTTGGGGGGGTTTTGTTCTGAGTTWGTAAAAATCTGTGCCCGGGGCTGTTCTGATGAGCACCTGGGGACCTGAGGCRCTGCCATAACGCACAGAAAATTGGGTTGGAACGGCCAAAATGGAAATTCTGGATCCAAACAGAACGACGAGGAAACTCAGCTCTGATTTCAAACCCACGTGGGCTACTCCCAAAAATTCCTCAAATCCCGGCTTTGCTTGGGTATTGAGCTGCAGGAGGAGTTTAGATCTGATTTTTTGGAGGCAGAAACCTCTCTGTGGTCTCAGCGTGGTGTCGTGACCCAAACTGGGATGTGACAGAGCCCCAGGTGTCCGGGAAACCTCGGACAGGGGAGCTGAGGCAGCTCCTGGAGGAACACGAGGACGGGGATGGAATTCCCTCGTTCCTCAGCCCATCCCTTGTGTCCCTCCTGGCTTTGGTTTTGGTCTCTGCACCAAAATC